CCCTTGTTTATGGTTCTTAGTGTGTAAATGTGTGGGAATTCAAATCTTTCCTGGATTTTATTACATGATGGATATGCTTATAAATCTATATCAGTTTGTTTCATATCTTGTGATCTTTTAGCTTCTCATCATCCTTGAAATCACATTTATATGTGTCCTAAAATACCAGTCAATCTTGAAATTGAATTTTATGTGTATTTGCTTTCTGGAGCCACGCTGACATGCACCAGACATAAAACAGCTAATTTAGACTAGGCCAGATTCTGGAAAAAGGCTCAAATAAGGATGTTGAGGCATTTTTTAGTAGGATCTTGTATCCGGACTATTTTACCTATTTAAAGGGTGCTGATCACAAAAAAAAAAATAGATCCCAAGCTGAGAAAAGTGTTTTTGAACCTCAAAATTGAAAAACAAAATGGCCACCAAAATCGCCTAAAATAGTGGTAGGTGTGCACAGTATTTTCGCCTGTGACTGTATCTCTATTTTATAAATTTTGGAAACTTGACCTTTTATGACATTTAAAGAATGCTGATCATGAATAAATAGGATTCCAAGCTGAAAAACGTTTTTTTTTACCTCAAATTTGAAAAACAAAATGGCCGCCATAGTTACCGCAAGTAGTGGTAGGTGTGCACGGTATGTCATCACCTGTGACTGAATATCTACTTTCTAATTTGTTTAAACCTGACTTTTTTACATTTAAAGGATGCTGATCACGAAAAAAAAGGATACCAACTGAAAAAAATTGATTATGAACCTCAAACTTGAAAAACAAAATGGCCGCCAAATCACCTTTTCAGTGGACAAAAATACTGAATGCTTAGATTGGTATATGATGAAACATAAATGACCGCTGTACAATTAAAATGTTAATATTGTTGTCACCACAAGATATAGAACTGCCTTTCATTAAAAACAAATAAATAGGATTTTGTTAAAAAATTATTTCATCCCAAAATGTTTTCAAAAATTATTTAATCAAAATTGTCATAAATATTGGGGGAAAATTGTTAACAAAACGTTTTAGTTGTTACATAGTTCAGATAGTTAGCAACACATTATGAAACATTACTGAACACAGTTGTAATTGTTTTAAATGTTTTTCAAAAAGGTGGTAATTTGACAATTCAAAATAATGTACGTCCCCTTTACTTTTGATGACCGCCTTTCTAAGACATGTCAAGTTGCTGGTGCAATTATTGTAAGTATTCCTCCTTTTACATTGGTATTTTTTAAATAGTGTATCTACTTTGGATAAGGGCAAATAAAAATAATAGAATGAAAAATATATACTGCATTTTCAGTTACAAAATGTAAGTGAAACCCTCATGTGCAAATCCTATTGACTGGAAGAAATGTATGTTTTGTCAAGATGTTAACTTTGTGATCAGCACCCTTTAAATAGGTAAAATAGCCTGGATACCGAATCCTACTGAAAAATGCCTCTTGCATTGCTTTTATCCCAAAATCGGTCCTAGTCTAATTAATTCTTTGATGATTGATTGTTGCCATTTTCAGAAATTTTATGTAAAACGAGAATCTCTTATTCTAGACAAGGTATACAAGATACCATTCCACTGTTGTGTGATTAATATTACATCTGTTAAGGAGATATTGGAAATGTCTGGGTTCATACTAGATGTCCTATTTGATTATCTGTGCTTCATAATTAGATAGAGAAATGGGAGTATTTTATAACACAAGTGCTGTGATGAGGTTGTAAGGGATTGCATTTCACCTAGCCACACCAGAACTTCAAAAGGATTGCTTTTCTATAGTTTGCTGTTGTAATAACTGTTCTGGCTGCCTTGAAATTTTCATTTTAAAGTTACACACAAGATACATTTATTTCCCACAGATTGGTACTGAAGAAATTTCATTCCAAAGCTGATTATACTGAATCCTTCCAACTAATAAATGCAAGGCAATTACATACTCTCTGTCCACTCATGATTTTATTTGTATTAAGTCTGTACACAAGAACACATTAGCCATCATCTGTATGTCAATTTTCAGTCAAGCCTGTGAAGATTACTAACAGATTAGTCAAGATAGTCAATGGGGCTCTTTGGAAGAGTCAGCCTTTTGTAGCAAACATGGTATTTTGTGCAAAACCTTTTGTGATGTTAATCGATATGAGCTCTGTGGCTCTGACTATCCCATTCACGTAATTCCTCAGCATGACCTGATTTGCAGTGGTTTTTATATTTTACGGATATTGAAAGTACCGCTTGCTCCCTTGTCCTAAATATCACCTCATTTTGCATATAGGCTTTTTGTGCTCACAAGGAAATGATACAGTCATGTAAAAAAAAATTACAACTGAATTCCCCAAGATTTCCTGAAACGGTTACATTGACCCTCCAACTGTAAATTGCCTAACTCTTGGCACATGGGCCTGCTAGTTGAATAGTCCCCAGATTCTGATAACAGCTGACTTGACAGGCCATCAAACCCCAAATGAAACTGATAGTTGCCTGTAGTTTCAGTCACTGGTTAGGCTGATCCAGAATGGATTAGATACAGGCTGCTGTGATGAAACTGGAATATTTACGATGTCTCAGCAACATTTCCTGGCTGTTATCATGGTCGTAGATGAGCTGTTTGTTATTGTTTGGATCACAGATCGGTCTGCTTTAACTTTCTTTTCTTTTTTTCTGCTCAATCTTATTAAAACCTGACTGCCTCCGTAGTGTAGTGGTTAGAGCGTCCGCCTGGAGAGCGGAAGGTCGCGGGTTCGATCCCTGACCGCGTCATACCAAAAGACGTTAAAATATGGTACTTGTTGGTAGCTGCCTGGCGTTCGGCATTAATGGGTACAACAAGGACTGGTCGGCTTGAGTCAGTATAAGGTGTCTGAGTGGGTTATTCATGTAGGCTGGCACTATAAAACCAGCTTCAGTCTGGGCTAGTACAAGCAGCCGCACATACACATACATACGCATGCATACGTCATATGAGCGAAATATTCTCAAGCACGACGTTAAACCCAATTTCACCTCACCTTATTAAAATCTGATTTTAGCTCTTGCTTACACAAAGATCTGAAGATCTCCCACTATGGGTCATGTCCATAAAACCTTCATCAAAGCATTGCTCAGCACAAGCCTAACAAGCAGAATGTCTCATATAATTGTAAACCTTTCAAAAGGTTAGCACAGCATACTCCGAACTACAGTTACAGCCTGTACAACTTATTTCATAACAAAAACACACCAAACATTGTCTTTATTACACCTCAGTGGGATAAACATTGGAATTGGAAGGGACTTCTCACAGCCCTTGGGAAGTACTGGAAAGTACTGACATACAACTTGGGACCATCTTTGAAACATTCCCCAATTTTCCACCCCCAAAAAATTAAAAAATTCCAGCTTACAGTTTATTTAGTGATTTTATTTTATTTTTATTTTTTCAAAAACAGATCTAGGAATGGAAGTGGCCTATTTAAGATTAGTGATATACAGGTTGAAAATCTGCTTTCCAATCAACTAATGTTGACTTCTTGTTAGTTGTTTCATTGGTCGTTCTAAAGTTACCTCTGGCATGACCAGTAATGGGTTGTCTTCCCATCTTTGTGTAGCAGTTGTGAGCATTATGATGTGATTTTAATGCCATTGCTTGTATTTTAACCATATGGCCTGGTAACCCAGGAAAGTTCATCATGAAGTCTGTAGGACAGTTTAAAAAATGGACAGAATAAAAAAATACAGGCAATGTTTATTGGCATCGTTTCATCATGTTCAAAGTCTGTAAATAAAAGGAGACAGTTTATTCGTCTACAGAGCCACCAACTGAGTCTGAATAGGCAAGATAAGCATCTGAGCCAAAATATACAATTAGGTTCATATATGTGAAGATTTGTGGTGGTGTTAAAAGTGTGTTTTAGAAGTGGAAACTTTAGATTTGCAATACATGATATATGACCTGAGGTGAAATAGAGCCTAGCCCCCCAAATTGTTGCCAGTAGCAATTTTCTGCCTAATGTTAAGTGTATCTTAAGGGCTAGTAGACATTCTGGCATTTTGTTATGTGTTCCTGTGCGTATTTATATTCAGGCTAGTGCATGCTCTAGGTTCTGCCCCTGCTCAATGTAAACAACATAAGTAAATGTGAAAATAGTATGCTTGTTGCTGAGTTATTTTGGGTCTACTCTTTTTAGAAATTGTTGTGAAATAATGATGATAATATGCCCAGCTATTTTTCTCAAGATTGCAGTTTTTGAAGACTGGCACATCTCTTATGAAAGAGCTTTTAATTTTTAATAAACAAGTAAATACAGATAACTCATGAGTACATATTTTCCTTTAAAACAGGTATTTCTGCAAGGATGGAAATTAATTGCATTAAATGAATGTTTCAAATTCTTCTAGCCCTTAGATACCTTTAAGTTAGTAGAACTAGAACTAATGCCGAATTCAATCTCACATGAAATGCCAATATGAAGAAAGTTTCATAGGATCCAGGTAGAGACAATGTATTTCAGATCAACTGTCATTATTAATATCATGAATGCTGATTATAAGTTGTACATGTTCAGCACTAAACAATCTTTGCACTTTGGCAGTGTGAGGTGGTGGGGTAGCCTAGTGGTTAAAGCGTTCGCTTGTCAAGCCAAAGACCGGGTTCAATTCCTGGATTTGATATTGCTGGAATATTGCTAAGAGCGGTATAAAACTAAACTCACTCACTCACTCACTATGACAGTATGGGAGTTACAGTTGTCTTATCGCTCAGATCACTTTGTGCAGGTAGATCCTGGGCACAATACTTCTCAGTTGTCCCCAAGTAGTCAGGTTCAAATCCCAGATTTAGTCAGTTTTAGTTCTTGCTTGGTCAGCAGCATAGCTGTGCTTATGGGTTTAACAGATATGTATGACCAGTTTGACTTTGGGCTTCTCAGAAGCTTTCAGACATGTAAATTGAATGCTGTTTGAAGTGTTGAAACTATTCCTTACTGTTTGGTGATTATTGTCTCATGCCATTTCTTTTGTTCCAGGGAGGGCACGGCTTCCTAAGATCACCCTGCCCGAAAACCCACCTGCCAGTCCACAGTAAGTCATTCATATATTGAGGGGTTCGCCCTGATGCGCTCATTGTGTATATTTGATTCAATATTCACATTAAAATATGTTGACGAAATGATTACTGCGTCACAGATGACACAAAAATTACTCACAATTTCAGAAATATGTACTTATCAACTGTTAATATGTTAGATCCTTTCATTTTGTAATTAAACACTGTGAAAACAAGAGTTAGATCTCGGTGACTGTGATCAGGGAATTCCATTATGGCTAAATATAGACATCAGATAGATCAGCCAATCAGCTTATTGCTGCCTAGAGGGACAGTGCAATTGAAATGCTGTCCTATTCTATTCCTAGCACATTTGGAATGTGGAGCGAAAAGAACTGACAAAAACTTAGAGATGTCAACAAATTTAAGTAATCAGGATGATGCAGACGAAGACATCAGTAGCGATGAAAATGTCAGTGAGAAGACAAAGGTGTATCATACTTTATGTGTGGCATGGCTAGCTGCATACGTTTGGCTACAGTTCGGGGGTCATGACATGCATCATTTGTACAAATTCTGGAATGCAGAATTATTTCAACAAAGCCAGGATGCAGATATTTCAATATAAAGTATTACATTAATTGTATTCGATTCATAAACTATGTGTCATCAAGCTACTGCTGATAAATCAGTGAAGATGATTATCAACAATTCTAGCTTCATTATCAAATTTGGGGAAAAGACATCTCTTTTGGATGACAGTTAGCCTATATCATTCTTTTTTGATTAGTTAATTTCCTTCAAAATTTTGTCAGCCCAGAAATGTTATTTGGAAACATTGCCAAACTATTAGCATTATGCTGAACATATTAACCTGCTCATAACAGCATGGGCATCTTTTGATCGTATGAAGAGGTTATTTTGTGTGCTGGTGCCATCAAAGCACATATGTAATATGTACTAAACAGCCCTGCTTTAAGCAATTTATTCTGGCCTTAAATCTCCAGCAACATGTTAGTTCTCTTTTTTAGTTCAGAAATGTGGGAAAATGAAAACATGGATGTTACAGAAGTCTGAAAACTCGGAACTGGTCTTTGAAATAGAATGTTTACATTCTTTTCTAGTTATTTACTTTGTGGACAACCTTTAATAATGACCTTCATATCTTTCTGGCTTAAACTTATTCCTGAAAAGTTGGCCAAATGCTCAAATATCTTATGCACTGAAAGCTTTTACATAAGGGATTTTCAAAAATATTTTGCATATTAGACTTGGTTGTAATGTGAACACAATCTACAAATGCCTGTGACAGTTGTGGAACAAATGATTTGTAACCATGTTTACCTATCAAGGCATGTCAGTGGACATTTTGTCTCTTAAGTTATGATATAGAGAGAAATGAGTCTCTTTAGAAGTAAAGCATTTCTATGGAAAAGATTATTAGTCTGTTCCTAAAAAGTATTACCACTGGAATAATACATTCACAATTAAAAAAAACATTAACTGTACAAGATTCTAAAATATCTGAAGACAATTTGCTGAATCATCAAACAAAATCTTACATAGCTAATCTTCTGTGGCTGTCGTTGTGACTGAAGATCTGTATATTGCTTCACTGTATGTTGCCTGCAGTTGTTGTGGGGTTATGGAGCTATAAATGATAGTGAACAGGGTATGAAACTCCCAAAAAATTCAGCCAGACCACAGGGCTTGTTGAATATAAAACGTGCCAGCCCTGACCAAAACTTACCTGCCCACAAAAATACTAATTTCCTTGGTATAATTAAACTAAAACTGATTAATATCTTCATATACATGTCTAAATTTTAACCCGACTGTCGGGCAGGTGAATTTGAGAGTCTGGCAGTCCGGGTTGAAAATAACCCGTCTCGGGTGGTCGGGCAGGCAGGTATTTCGAGTGAATCTCACTCTTCCATTGGAAATTATCAAAAGAAACTGGTAATGTTTTTTCTGAAATATCTTCATAACATGAATGAATTTTGAATTGCTGCGTTACAGTATGTAGCAACAATGCGAGTTTATTTCAAGAAATAGTTTGAACAAATGTATCATTATGCTATTGAGACAATACCAGTAAGTCTGACATCTCAGTTTGACAAATGAACTAAAATAGCAAAACTCCACATACTTCACATATTGTAAATGTACTACTCAAGAGATGTTAAAGAACACCCAATTCCTTCATACAACTAAAGTTTATGTCATGGTATGACAGATTAAAGGGACAGTCGTTTGACTGCTGTGAAGTATTGTTTGAAAACAAGAACCAATAACCTCCCAGACTTACTTAGCTCTATTCGCCCTATTCCGCAATTGAAGTTTCTGCTCCTGTGACCTGTAGGCTTATCTTATGAATAGAGATTTCCCTTGTTTGTAGACACTTTTGAGCAAAGCAAGCCTTTCCATGTGCTTTACCTATTAGTTGGCATAACTTTACAGATATGCCACTACAACTGCTACAGTTCGGTGCATGACCATATAGCTTTACACATCCAACAGACATTTCGCTAACTCTTTGCAGGGCTTCAGTGAGCATGGGGATGCTAAATATGCAGACAGGAATAGTTTTTCACTATATAATATATTTTCACAATGAACCTGAGTTTATCTTAATGTGTAGGCTCTGTGAAAATGAAACCAATAAAACGCACATGAAAGGACTGACAAAGATGCTAAGATGTGACTGGAGGTACATATCCAGCCACATAGAACTGGAGGATGATCAGCTTCATACGACTGAGGCTTTTATAAACACTGCTTTCTAATCTAAACAAAATGGTAGTGGTTTGTAATTTATTTGTTAAAAATACACAAAAGCTTTCTATTCATTTTGCTTCTAATGAAAAAAACTGAAGCTGTTAGGTAGACTGTGCAGAGCTCTGCTGATTGATAATTGAATCGAGCATAACCAAATTGTGTGATGCCACGTTGTAAATTATTTCATACATGATTTTTAACCTGTAGACAAACTGTCCCTTTAGCGAAGTAATAGCTCAGAAATGGGTGTTCTTTATTGCTTTCGAGTTTTAGGTTTATGATTTGACAGTTTGGGACCGTTTATTAGAGTTGACAAAAGTAAATTGTTTCATGAAAAGAACATATAGAATATGAAAAAAACAATTTTCAGTCTACACTTTTTGACGTTTTGACTTGTGTAATTTCATTTTACAATACTTCTGCCACAATTCATGGTTCAATTTTAATCAGAATTCTTGTTTTGTGGCTTATTGAGGTTATGGTCAACAATAATGAATGTTAAATGAAATAAGTATTGAGAGTAATAGAAAAAGTTTTCCAATATTTCTTATGACTAGAAGCCAGAAACATGTTTTAGTCTTCTGTGACGTTTGTTATATTTTGGATTACACGTTCTCAGTAAATAGCATTGTGTATTCATGTTAGTCCTTGATTGAATTCTGTTTGCATTTAGATACAGTGCTGTAATATTGTTGTTTTTCTCATTAGGCCTCCACGTCCTGATTTGAATTCAACAGCAACTTTGACAATTGGAGATAAAACAGTCGAGTGCGATGCTACAGATCTTGAGCCAATCAAATTGTTGGGCCGTGGTGCATATGGTGTCGTGGAGGAGATGCGCCATAGACCTAGCAATACCATCCTAGCAGTTAAGGTGAGGCTGCCTTAAATATGTAGTCATTGAGTTGGATGTTATGGGGATTTGGTGGCCACAATGACCTTGATGAATGGACACTGGACCTCCACGTCAATATGGATTGGGCCAAGCAAAAACTTATTGGTACTGATAAAGACACTGGTGGGATTCAGAATGTGCTCATATCATGTCTTTCTAAGTATTGGATAAGTGAGTGAGTGAGTTTAGTTTTACGTTGCACTCAGCAATATTCCAACTATATGGTGACAGCCTGTAAATAGTCGAGTCTGGACCAGACAATCCAGTGATCAACACCATGAGCATCGATCTACGCTATTGGGATACGATGACAGCGAGCCTGACCACCCGATCCCGTTAGTCGCCTCTTACGACAGGCATGGGTTACTGAAGATCAATTCTCACCTGGATGTTCACGAGTTAGTGTAGGATAAGTAGACAGTTGTTTACATTTGGAGTCCTATCATTACACAGATCAGGGAGACCCACTGGTCGGAAGTGCTGCCATTTGCTTTGCAGCTTTTTGCCCCAGAGTCATGTCAAGATCCTCTGGGTTTTCACTGTCTTAATACTAATTTGCCCTTATTTTTATGTTTGGTAGGTCAACACCATAGCTGTTGTGAATGTCAATGACTAACATTACTTTAGGGTAGAGTTGCTCCCTAGAAACCCATGCTTGTCTTCAGACATGGTGATTACACTGATTGTCGGTAATTTTACCCAGACAATGGTCGACATTGCTCATATTATCAACCACTGATTTGTCTGACACAACTGGGCCACAATGATACAGCTTGAAAAACTGCAGGGAAAAAACAAAAACAAAACAATTTAAACTAAAATTATTTGTTCCCACATTAAGCTGAGAACCTGCGTAACAACAGAACTGATGTTTATAGCTGTGTAAAGCCTTACCCACTAGGATAGGAACTTAACGTAGGAACCTGTGATTATTTTTAAACGGCATTGAGTAAATCTGTTATAACACAAATATGTTAGTCTGCAGTATCTGCAGGTACCATTTGTGTTCACAGGGTTCACCATTTATGTCCTGCTACCAAGCAGGTTGGTGAACTGGTACAATCAGTAACTGAATGCATTGGTGTTTTATTTCAGCGTATCATGGCAACTGTAAATAACCAAGAAACAAAGAGACTGTTGATGGACTTGGATGTCAACATGCGGAGTGGCTCCTGTCCATACACTGTGCACTTCTATGGAGCCCTGTTCAGAGATGTATGTACTATTGTAGAAATGATCTCATTGAGTGATTGTAGTATCTGTGTATATGTTCAGAGTGATTGTAGTATCTGTACATTGTTTCAGGGAATTGGAGTATCTGTGTACATCATTCTACAGTGATTGTAGATTGTAGTATCTGTGTACATTGTTTTAGAGGTTTGTAGTGTTTATATACATTGTTTCACAGCAATTCTGTACATTGTTTTAGGGGATTGTAGTATCTGTACATTGTTTTAGAGGATTGTAGTATCTATATACACTTTTAAGAGTGATTGTAGTATCTGCTCAATTTGTTTCAGGGGGATGTATGGATCTGCATGGAAGTGATGGAGACATCACTGGACAAATTCTACAAGAAAATATATTCAAATGGTGATAGAATACCAGAAGAAGTGTTAGGCAAGATAGCCTACTCTGTAAGTAGAATGATACTCACTTAGCGTTCAAGATATGCATATTCTCAATATCTTTTTCTCTAATTTCGTAGATTGCCGCAAATAGCTGTAATCTGACTGATGTGGCATAAATAAATAATTATTCCTTAATTTTCATTTACAAGAGACAGATATTTATTATGTTAACATTGATGTGTTTCCACAACAAGTGAAGATTATTATCTATATGCATCAGTTTCACATGTGCGGCTGATATAGAGGACAGGGAAGAGAGGTATTAAAGAGCTGTATGGCTTGAGGTGAAGTGAGAGTGTAATTGTTGTGTGTCATACCAGGTAGTGCAGGCCCTCCACTACCTACACACAGAACTGAAAGTGATACATCGGGATGTAAAGCCATCCAACATCCTCATCAACATCAAAGGAATGGTGAAAATATGTGACTTTGGCATCAGTGGCTACTTGGTGGATTCTATAGCGCGGACTAAGGATGCTGGATGTCGACCTTACATGGGGGTGAGCATGTTTTTCTCTGCATTTTGGAGGTGGATTGTGATGTCAAGTAGTTTCCCTAATGTTATTCTGCATTTTCCTTTCAAGCTGAAAATGAAAATATTGTGTTAAGGTTGGCCAGAACTTTCAAGACTTCATTCCAAACCATAGGGACACAGGATCAATTAGTTGTCAGTACCTATTGCTTGTTGTAGGAGGCAACTACATTACGTTGGAGGGATGGGGGCAGAGATTTAGCTGATCGCCTAGGTCCCAAGTGATGGGCAGTGGCATTAGATGGCTTAAGGCCGTAAACTTTCAAGACAAAAGGTCTTAATGTTTTTCAGAATCTTTACCCATTCAGTACAAACCCATGTCATCTCTGTATTCAAAGGGTCGGTGGGGTAGCCTAGTGGTTAAAGCATTGGTTCGTCACGCTGAAGACCCGGGTTCGATTCCCCACATGGGCACAATGTGTGAAGCCCATTTCTGGTGTCCCCCGCCGTGATATTGCTGGAATATTGCTAACAGTGGCGTAAAACTAAACTCACTCTGTATTCAAAATATTGCGCGGGTCTCTGATCATTCTCTGTACTTTTCAGCCTGAAAGAATAAACCCTGAACCCACGAATCCTGACTATGGCATCAGGTCCGATGTTTGGAGTCTTGGAATTACAATGGTGAGTTGGACCCTGTCCATCAGGGACAGTAAGTGGGGTCATGTTGGCGTGAACACACATACATACAGTCATGAAAAGTATGGTCGGTTCTGAAGCCAGGTCTTGTGACATAATGGTGAAAACTTTTTTATGAAAATTTGTGAAACGATTTGGGATTGGGCTACTCACATCTTACAGTCCCAGCTGCTGAAATTGAGCCCTGTCGCCAGAGCTTGTAATTGGTGACTAAGTGGGGATTGGGTGGTCATTTTGTGGGGGATATAGCTGGAATATTACTGACTGCAGTTTAAAAACTGAATAATGATGGGAGGTAACTTTGTGGGGGGATATAGCTGGAATATTACTGACTGAACAGTTGACCTGAATATGGATTGGGTGGTCACTTTGTGGGAGGATATAGCTGGAATATTACTGACTGCACAGTTGACCTGAATATGGATTGGGTGGTCACTTTGTGGGGGATATAGCTGGAATATTACTGACTGCACAGTTGACCTGAATATGGATTGGGTGGTCACTTTGTGGGGATATAGCTGGAATATTACTGACTGCAGTTTAAAAACTGAATAATGATTGGGAGGTATCTTTGTGGGGGATATAGCTGGAATATTACCAACTGCAGTTTAAAAACTGAATAATGATTGGGAGGTATCTTTGTGGGGGATATAGCTGGAATATTACCGACTGCAGTTTAAAAACTGAATAATGATTGGGAGGTAACTTTATGGGGGATATGGCTGGAATATTACCGACTGCAGTTTAAAAACTGAATAATGATTGGGAGGTACCTTTATGGGGGATATGGCTGGAATGTAACCGACTGCTGTGTTTTCTAGATTGAGATTGCAACCGGTGTGTTCCCCTATAGCAAGTGGAAGACTCCATTTGAGCAGATCAAACAGGTGGTGATGGAGGATCCCCCAAACTCCCCCCTGGACAGTTCACCCCCGACTTCGAAGAGTTTGTAGTCAAGTGGTAAGTCTCCACAAATACAAAACTCACCAAAGTCCCCGTGGATACATGACATGATAATTGAAAGACACACATTGGGAAATGTCAGGCTTTCAAGGAGTCAAAACATGGTTCTCGTAGTTTGGTAGACTGTCAGTTTTACCTGAAGTCATGGTGATGCATACTATAGAAATGATCCTTAAAAGTATGATCTTTTATCCTGAGACTCTTGCCATGAACATCTAAGATTATGCTGAAACAATTACTTTAAAAAGAAAGTATTATGATATTAGTTTGGCTAGACCATTATTATTCTTTACATTATTTTGAACAATGATAAAGTGATTTGTGAAAAAGAATAATTTAATATTTTATGAGATTTGGGTATTTACAGTGGGGGTGGGGGTGGGGTGGGGGTGGGTGTGGATGTGGATGTGGATGTGTGAATATGGGGTTGGCATCCCGGCAATAACCCCACATATGTAATCACTAAAATGCCATAATTCAGAGTTGTGCCCCTTATCTGTGCCAGTACCCTATTATCCAAGATTCACCCTAATTATGATTCTAAGTTAGCACTGTACTCGTGACCTTTACTGAAGTTAATTTGGGGGCGCGGTTGGCGAGCTGGCTAACTACCAGCGCCTTGAGCATGCACTAGTTGCCTGGATATGTGCGCTATATAAATATCCTATAATAAGGTATTAAATGTCAGCAATCACCATCACTTCAAATCCCATTCCACCTTAAGTTGGCTGCCATAAAGGAAATGAACTATTTAGTGTAAGATGTGATTTGACAGGTCACTTTCTTTCCAGCCTGAAGAAGGACTACAGGGAGCGGCCAAACTATGTGATGCTTTTGGAACACCCGTTCTGCATCCAAGCTGAAAAGAATGAAGTGGACATGGCTGCCTTCGTTGGCTCAGTTATAAAACGCTTTGGAGATTTAAATGAAAGTGTAAGATAAATTGTAGCTCACATTATCAACATCCGGAGCCATTCCATGCCAATTGTGGTGGTAAAAAGACCACATATCTATTTATTTGTAAGATACTCTCCTTCCTTTGACAAAGTCAGTGTTTCCTTATCCTGACTCATGCTCTTTTGCTTGTCTCCTTCCTCTTGCGAACATAGTGGAACACTTGTATCTCCCTAATTGAAGTTCCCTTCAATGTAAAATCACTAATTAGTACACCACGAGTTACCTCCCTTCCACAAGCGGGGAGCGAGCCACCTCTACCCATGTGCCTCACTCTCTCCTTCTTAGCCCAGTGAGCTGGGCGTGAGGCGCCTGTGTCTCCGACACACTATATCCTTTGATTATATTTAGTTAGTTACCTCGTATAGAGATCTATAGAGGTTTAGCTAGTATCTTTCAACAATTATATATTGATATTTAGTCGTGTTTCTACTGTTTATGCGGGGCGCCGTGCTGTTTCAGTGGATTACGTTGATAAAAATTCTGTACTGTTGCACATTCGTTTTATTCTGCTGCTGATCGCATTTAATATGCCCTAGCTGTACTGCGCCATGTTTCATGTGATTCGCGTTGCAGTTGCGATACTAATTTATCAATTCTACCTTTAATAAATAATTACTTTGCGTTTGAGGCAGCGCAGCAGATAGGTCGCGTATGCAGAGTCTAGCCATGACTGATACACCTGAACCCCTAAGCCAGTCTACTGCTGTTGGTCGACCCCCTCCCGTCTGGTGTTCGCTAGAGTGGTGGAGAGGCGTGGGGCGTAGTCCGCCGCCTCTAAGAAGCGTCCTGCTTCCCCAGACATCCCATCGTCGCAGCCGAAGACTAGAGGGTTTCTACTGCATCTCAGCGACCTCTGAGGGGAAATCAGCGAAGTCTACTTGAACTTTCTCAGCCGAGATTGTTCCGTCGCGAGATTTGGGCCTGTATGATGATCAGCCGATCATCATACCTGATAATACATCAAAGAATGACCCGATGTCGACAACAGGCAGCGCGCAGACCCGCACCCCAGGGCAGCGTCGACCTCTGGGGAAATCAGCGAAGTCTATTAGGACTTTCTCAGCGAGATTGTTCCAGCCGCTGAACTGGGCCTCTCGATGATCAGCCGATCATCATCCCGGCGTCGCCACAAGAAGCGACCCGGAGACAGCTACAGTGACATCAGCAGAGATCGCCATGCAGCCTGAGGTCTCTACACTGGCGTCAGGCGACTTCCCTGAGGGCCCGCCCGCTAACATCGCAGAGAGGGCACCGACTAATTCGTCGCAGACCATCCCAGATGAACTTTTGCGGCAAATCATGATCATGATGGAGGCCACTACAGACTGGGAAGCAGCCAGCCCAAGGCCTGAGCCAGCGAAGGTTCCAGCATGAGCGACACCCCAGAGGCACCCCATCAAGCGTAACAGCCGCGGCGAAGCCACCTTGGCGAAGGAAGTGCAGACCACCTCCACGAAGGACCCAGATGTACAGCCAGCGAAGGCCTTAGCGGCGGGATAGATCATCACCTTCCACCGGCTTCATCCTTAGATGCGGACTCAGACCATCAGACCTCACGGAAGCCAGCGAAGGTCAAATCGCCGTTCCCCAGGACGGACGCAGAGGAAGCCAGCGAAGGCCTTAGCGAAGGAAGGCCAGCGAAGGACACCTGACTACACAAGAGCCGTGAAGCTATCAACATTCTCCTCACAGGTCTCGAGAAGGTCAACCCATAGGCGCAGATCACCAACCACGATCTCAGCGCCGTTAACGGCGCCGATCTCTCGTACATCACCCGTCGATCGTCTCACAGGTCACCACACAAGTCTGCACACAAGTCTACAGTCAGCTCTCCCGGCGTCACCCGACATAGAGATAGAAATACACAGTCCACCATCAGAAGAGCATCAACATCTCATAAGCGATGCTGGGATAGAAAATGATGGAGACATCATTTTCTCAGGCGCTGAGATCACGATATTGGATGGTAAACAACCTAGATCTCTCTTCACCTTCCAAGAGTGGCAGCTTCGGCGCAGACATACCTGATAAAGGAAGGCGAGAGGCAGGCGCCATCACCTTACCTCCGATCATTTCGATTGCTGCGGTGCCACAGTATGTGGACACAGCCTACCATAAAGCCATAACAGTTCAAGCGCCAAAGGCGTATGTTCTTGGCATTAATAGATCTAGAGCGATCAATGAGATTCTTATCACCAGATTTCGTGACCACGACTTCTGAAGATGATAGGATGATCTACTCGGCTCTACTTATGCAGAACCAGCAAGAACCACACCCTGTATGAAGCTAGCGGCTCATATATTGATCGGATTCTAGACGCCGCTAAGGAAGTCCCAGGCCACCTCAGCGAAGGAGCTAGAGCCTCACCAGTTACAAAGGGGCGTCCGGAGGGTAAGCGCTTCACCGACCCACATATTGCTGAGTCGCGGCGTAAAACAAAACACTCACTCACTCCTGTTGAACACAGAGGTGGATTTGCGAAGCAAAGCTCATATATTATATATATACTGATCGGGCTCTGACTCGATACCTTAGCGAAGGTCGCGAAGGCTAAAGTAACTCAAGTCTACCTCACACAGGAAATCTAGAATGGATGCTTGAGCTTAGCGAAGTCTCCGGCGTCCACCGAGGAATTCTCCTCCAAGGTCTCCATATATTAGCCACTCGTCATATATAGCTACTCGTCAGTCCGTTCAAGACATCGCATAAGTTGTCTATCAACTGTATGCCATATGCCGTCTATAAGCCTACGCGAAGACAATTGCACAGGCTATTTACAACACAGAGCGTCGCTATATTAATTAATCAGCGGCGTTGCAGAGATCTTCACAGAAATCAACTTTTCGTATAGATTGCTAGAATATGCAATCCCGGACTCTGATCACGATTATCTACATGCGTGACCATTCGCAGATCTGCAGACAATTCAATATCGAAATTGAACAGCAGCCTTGTTACAGCGAGTATAACTCATAATCGTCAAAGTTTCTGAGAAGAAATATGTACAGGTTCAGCTTTAATTCTACAATTATGACGATACATTCATGTATACAGTCTACAAGCTGACAACTTGCAAGTTTATTGTACCTTTATATAAGGAAGTCAGAATTATATTCAAAACTGAAATTACATTTCGACAGCCAGGAAAATAACCTACCCAGCATTAATATTACAGGCGAGGTATTTCGCGCGGAGGTTTCAGCGTTTACCTTAACCCTCGAAATGCGTGGTCACTCGGGTAACCCGGGAAGCTACGGTGAAGACCGGCGATTATGCTAATATCAGCGGCGGCAAGATTTTATACAAGGTTTTTTCCTGCTACACGGTGACATCACAGCGCGGGTATTCTACAGAATCAAAATGCCTTGTTCTGATTGGACGCGTTGGACAAGCGACCTACGCAGAGGTCGATCTTAGTTCACAGTTCAAGACTTACGTTACAAGTGACAACTATATATCAGTGAGCGAGCAAGCCTCCTTACAGTCAGTTAATCTGAACCTTCATGATTGGGCTGCTTTCTTCAGGTTAGAGGCCTCCCCTGTCAAGTTAGGGCGAGGGCGCGGCAGTCAGGCAATTTTACATAAAGTTCAGCGAGGACAGACACACCTGGTTATGCACCTACATCGTCAAGGACTTGCGCGGCGAATAACCTAGGCGGCCGGGATACAAGTGGATCTAAATCCACAGCGTCTCAGACTACAGCTGAATTTCATAATCAAGCTACTAACACAACTAGATGGTTAGTAAACCTACTTAAACTTTCTGATTGGAGAATTAAAGCGGAAGTTTCACCCTCCAACTTGGGGATCTGAATATAGTGCTCCAACACCTCACAAGTGAGGTTTATGAACACGCCTGGATGACATACTTGGACTCCATGATACGATGATTCTATCACGATGGCCAGCAAGAACACTGTAAATTTATCTCCACCGAACCAAACAGAAGGGAATAATACAACAGATTATTTCCTCTATCATCAACTTACGCAAAATGAAATCTCGCGTACTATATCTCCGTTTGGATCAGAACTGTCATACTACGTGCATACAAGGCGGATGGACCCAATCCGACCCTCCATGAGCTTTTAATACTCATGATATTAAAGCTAACTTCTACAATTGATCTACACAATATTATTTGAAATAATGGAGGCTTTATTTTCTGGAGATCCGATATGGTGGTTGCCAACCATTATCTGAGAGATATCATCACCGAGGGCGTCTCAGGTATCCACCAATTCGATCCCATGGTCCTCGCACAACAGTTGACAGTTCCTCGGAGAAGATAAGTCAATCTTACAGATTTTTACTTATCTTATAACAGTACTAAATAGCTACATGCTATATATAATTTGCTTAAGTTCTTTTATCATCACAGTACTATGATTATTACATCATACAATATATAAGTTAACAACTCTACAGAGTTGGTTATTATATATTTACCTTAACTTAATTATATCTTCAGCATAGTACTATACTCAGATTGTAAAATATATAAGCTAACAAACTCTACAGAGTTTGGGGTTTATATCATATCAGTATATTAGCTAACAAACTCTAAAGAGTTTTTGCTAATTGGCTTAAGAATCTCATCATATCTTAAGCAATATGGTTACATTATAACATGTATTAGCTAACAAACTCTACGGGGTTTTGCTATTATATATATGTAACTTAAGCTTATTCATATCTTAAAGCGCAATACTATGTTTATATCATATAGGTATATTAGCTATCAAAACTCTAAAAGAGTTTTTGCTATTATATATTTGGCTTAAGTTTCATCATAATTTAAGCTTTATGGTTACATTATAACTTGTATTAGCTAACAAACTCTACAGAGTTTTGCTATTATATATGTAGCTTAAGTTTTCCTTCAAATCTTAAGCTCAATACTATGTTTATATCATATAAGTATATTAGCTAACAAACTCACGGAGTTTTGCTATTATATATGTAGCTTAAGGTTTCCTTCAAAGCTCAATACTATGTTTATATCATATAAGTATATTAGCTAACAAACTCTCACAGTGTTTGCTATTATATATGTAGCTTTAGGTTTCCTTCATAAACTCAATACTAGGTT